CTGGGAACAGGCTCCAGTGTTCATCTGCCTCACTGACCTCCGACTCCGAAGGCAGCTGATAACTGGCATACGGCTCTGTCCCCCTCTCTGCCTCCGACACAGAGCCTTCATCAGAACCTTCCCCAGACTCCAGGACTGGCCCATGTTCCTCCCCAACTTCCTCACTCTCTGAGTCTGCTGCCAGCTCTGCTGCCAGGCCACAATAGATGGCGCCTACTTAAGTTTTACCTGACTGAAGCCGCCGGAAGGTTTCTTAGGAGGAGTCTGTCCCACAGCTGGCTGGTCCCCTGGTCTCACGGGTAGAACTTGGTGGCTTCCTGCAGGAAGAGCTGCTTCCCCCCATGAAATGTTGCTGGTGACTGTAGAAGGCTGAGGGGGGATGTTCTGTCTGGACATGCCAGGATTAGGTTTGGCAGCTGCCGGGTAGTTCTTTATTACGCAGGCCAAGTCATCAGGGACATTTTTCTCCCCAGGAGGGACCGGAGGGAAGGGAAGGAGTCTGTCCTCCACTTTACAGAGGGGAAGATGAATCTTGGTGGCCTGGATTGGGTTCTTATCCAAAGGGACCCCAGCATGGAGAGGAGGACTTTCCGGGGGTATCTCCGCTGTAGGTGGCTCGGCCTGAACAGCTCGTCCAGGACAGGAATGAAGATGACTCTGATCTTCCGAGGCAAAAGACTGAGTGAGAAGGTGAGTCTCCCCCACTGTACATGGATAGAAGTGGGAGTGGTCCCAGACCATGTTAGTACCACCGTGAAGGTCCCCTGCCATGTTGTTAGAGAAAGTGGCGTGGTCCCGATGTTCAGATGTGACAACGTGGAGATGGTTGTCGCCTTCGGACACGCCACTGATTTGGGGGCCCTGAACTGAGGGCAGCCCGCTTCTTTGAAGGTCCCCAACTACCTGAAAACTGAGCGGGTTCTCTGGCAGAGGAGCATAGAACTGGAGCCGTTCCGAAGCAGAGCCGGGATACGGGTGGAATTTTTCTAGACTTCCCGCGCTCTCACTTTTCCCGCAGTTGTTACAGTCTGAATAAATATCGGGTTTCTTCTGAGACTGAACAGAAGCTTGTTGGGCAGATTCGGCCAGAGCAAGAGCCAGGATGCGGGCGGCATTTTTCGGAGGTGGAGGAGGGACAACAGAAACAGAATTGACTGGAGCAGAATCCTGGGGGGTGGCAAGGGCAACGGCTCCTAGTGGGAAGAAGAGTAGAAACAAAAGAAAAACAAAAACAAAAGAGAATGGTTTACTTTATCCCATTAAGGAGAGTGAGCAATTCCTATAGATCATCCTAAAAAAAATAAGATATTTTTTTCCCTCTAAAAAATAGTCCAACATTTCACAGTGGCAATTCCTTGGCGTGACCAAAGCGGGTCTTCTCTCATGCATGCAAAACAGGAATAGCAGTTCGGTGTGAAAAAAAAGCGCAAGAGATTGTCTAAAAAGTTCCTGTTGCGGTCCTAAAGACTAAGCGGTAGGCAGTGCAGAAAGAAAATGCCAGATTGTTTGATGGGATCTTTAGCACAACTTAAATCACGGATTACTTTTGGGCCAGAAAAAAAAAAAGGTCTCTTCTTTTGAGTGCAGCCCAATTTTATTTATTTCTATGGATCGTTTAAAAAAATATAAAGTTTATCAGGAAGCATTCTGATCGGAAGAGATCATCTCGTGTTATGAAAAAAGTGAAAAGAGAGAGAGGGCTATATATAATATTCACAGGGTTGTGGGGGTTTTTTTATGTGTGTGTATGTGTGATACACAAAAGGTGGCTGCAGAGAAGCTTAGGTTCTTTTAACCCAAGCAGCATCTATAAGCTCTGGAAGACACATACTTTGCTACTATTATTATTTATTACTATTATCATCATTATTACCAGGGTTTCCCCCTCTTTTTAAAGGCGTGCAGAGAAGCGAGAGCTTGGCGGCTTGCGAACTTAAAGAAAAAATGGAGGAAAACACACTGTACCTGGCTGTGTCAGTCCAGAAGGTACAGGCTTACTCTGGCCGCTGCTGAGCGTAAGGGGATCCACCTCTTCTTGAAGCTCTGCTTTCTTGGTATCTCCCGCGTTCTGGAGTTCCTGCTGGTGCTCTTCACCGTGCCTACTCTCATTGCTTCTCAGAGGTGACACCATGAGCTGGGAGAGGGACATGCTTGATGCTTCGTTGCCGTCGCCGGTTTTTTTAGCCCAATCCAAAGGGCCAATGCTTTCTGACGCTCCTCCAGTGACCACGTCTGGCATTCGGCTGGGGGCAGAATAAGGAACGGGCTCCGATCCCGCGAGAGGTGGAGACTTGACTGGCTTTTGGCCCGACTTGGGGGAATAGGCACAGGTGAGCTTCTCGGAGAAAGACAAGTGTTTTGAGGGTCTCTCTTCAGAGGGCCTCAAATCCAGGGTGAAGAAGGGACTTGGGTTTTTTTCTTGGTAAGGAGAAACTGGTTCCGAGCTGGTGGCGCTGCAGGGCGTGTGAGATTGGCTGCCCGAGTCCAGCTCTTTCTTGAAGAGGCTTGGCTTATCCTTGTTGTAGTCCACTGACTCCAGCAGGGAGGTGCTGCTGTCGAGACACTCGGATTCTGCTTTGGGGGGGCTGCACTGAAAAGACATTGGGTCGAAATCCAAGCTAGCCACCCCAATCTCCGGCGGGCTCAGGTCGACGTCCTCTGCCGACCTGGGAGAAATGAGGGCAGGGACCTGCAGGTGTCCCTCGTCGCCGTCGCTTTCTTGGTCCTGGGGAAGATTGTCGTAAGAATTGCAGCGATTCATGTTTCCCAACAATTCCCCGTTAAAAGAAACGGACAAAGCATCACTGCTCGATCTTGGCCTTCGGGGTCGAAAGAGTTTAGACTCACCTGGCAAAAAAAAAAGAAGAAAAAGAAAGACAGTTGTTAGCAGTGGTGGGGTTCAAATATTTTAACAACCGGTTCTCTGCCCTAATGACCAGCTGGGTAGATGGGGCTTGGGGTCATGTGACTGGGTGGGCATGGCNAGCACAGTGGAGTTGCCATGGTAATGGCTTCACAGTACTCCACAAGGGGACTTCCTCTGGTTAGGAGGAAAATCCAACATTAGAAATTACATTTGGTCCAGACATTTTCCCCCTATAAATAAATACCCGGACAACGCTGGGTTATCAGCAAGTTTCTTATAAGCATAACTTTGCCAGAAAGGTGACAAGTTAGGGAAATGACTACTATCACTCAAACTGAAAATGGGTCCAGATAATTTCACTCCATTCTTTTCCCTCAACCTGAGGTGGGGGACGGGACACACCATATTTTATGATTGTCTATGGAAATTCTCAGTCATCCAGGTCATACTCATCACAAAGATGCTTTTTCTGGTTTTTCTTTGAAGACTTTTTGCTTCTCATCCAAGAAGCTTCTTCAGCTTCTTCACCACAGAGTGGAAGAAGCTTCTTGGATGAGAAGTGAAACGTCTTCAAAGAAAAAAAGAAAGAAAGTCCAGTTGCCTTTTGGAAAAAAAGCACCTTTGTGATATTTTACGATGGTGAAGGTGGAACAAAAGCTTGGTACAAAGCCTTGAATAAAAAAATGTTTTAGAATGGATGCTTCAGAGTTGTGAGAGCTCTGCATGGTACCCAACTTTTAACAGAGGGACTATTTTCCATGATGGACATTTGGACATCTAAGCTTGATTGGCCTCCAATGAATGTGAGGTAGTTGTTTATTAAGCTGCATTTCTTTGGTGGGTCAGCCAAGCAGAAAAATGAAAACTTTGGACACTGCTCTGCCAACGCTTTCCAATGTTTGTTTTAGTTTATTTTTGAGATACATACCTGCACTCTCTCGAATGACAGAGCTGAGTTTAGAACTGAAAAGGACATCTACGTGATTGAGAATGAATTCCACCACCACTGATTGGATTCGTACTTCCATAAAAGCTGCTGTTCCACTGAAGCAAGCAGATTCTATCTGTTTTGATCTAAGGAAAAGAATGCAAGCATTAGCTAGTGCTCCAGCCAGTACTAACAGTTCCTGGTGTACACAGACAAATCAACTGAATGCCTTCCCTTTTTCACAGGAACAAATATTTGCACAGTGGTCGCAGTGTGAAGTCAACACACACAATGCTGGAGAGACAGATACAGATTAACAGAGTTGGCAGGGACCTTGTAGGTCATCTAGTCCAACCCCCTGCCCAAGCAGGAGACCCTACATTATTTCTGACAGATGTCAGCCCAGTCTCTTCTTGAAAGCCTCCAGTGATGAAGTTCCCACAACTTCCGAAGGCAACTTCTGTTCCATTGGTTGGTTGTTCTCACTGTCAGAAAATTCCNTATTGCTCAAAGTTCCAATTTATTAAGAGAACCATGTTGGCACATCTGGGAAAACCCAAATCTGAAAGCTTCCCGGTTTTCCCTACCTAGTTGAAAGCTCAAGATCCTGCCCCCACACCCACAACTCCATCACATGGTCCAATCTCCCATTGCCATGTTGGCAGTTCCACCCATCCAGTTCCACCCAGGTGCAGAGATGAAGAGACAAAGGATGACCTTGGTTTTCTAGAAAGAATTTTGTTTTGGCTACATTGCATCTAATGCCGTACAACCCCCCTCCCATTTTCCCACAATAGAAAAAGGCACAGTAGAATAATAGAAAATGTGACAGGCCAAAGATCCAAAAGAAAGCTGCAGGCTTGACACCTACCTTTCAGAGGGGAAGTCTATGATGGTATGGAACTTCCCCTGCAAAGCAGCGGGTCCTTCTCCTACTTCGATGTACTTGCTGTCTGTCAGGGCTGGAGAATTGATCTGTGCCTGAGTCCTTGCCTGGGCCTCCTCTAAGGTAAGCAGCTTTGTGGAGGGAGACGACACCAGCAAAGATTTAGGGCGTGACAAGGAACTGTGACCTGCCACAGAAACAGAAGGCAAAGCAAGAGGGAGAACGGTGTGAATTAGGAGAGCCTGTGAAAGAAGAGATTCCTGAAATAGAGTCATCACAGGCCAACATTTCCTTCATCTCAGGACTTAAGCAGGGAATCTTCAAAACTCATTATGCTTTTATCAAGAAAAATCTGGCAAGGAAAAAAATTAAGTTTGGGTTTAACATAGTGGACATTCCATCAGTTTATTTTTCCTTCCGTTCACTGCACGATGACCTGCGACTCAGTTTTGCTTCACGGATTTCTTTTTTACTTCTATAATTTTATATTATATATTATCGATTATAAATACTTGAGAAGAAGTCTTTTTTCTCACATAAGGGCCTTCACAAGCTCTTTCATTAATATAAAATGTTTGGCAAAATCCTATTCCCCCACCCCTCAAAAAAAGTCGCTGAGTTTTACTCCCAATTTAAATTCAAGAAAATAATGCTTGAAGATTGTGTATGGCTTAAACATTACCGACTACCTTCTAGCAGTCATACTGCTAAATCCAGTGAGTTCAAAAACCATTTCTTAAAAAAAAAAACTCACAGGAGAAACTCCACCATATTTAGCACTTTTTTTTACATTTTGAAGACAGTTAATTAACAAGTCAAGAAGTTGCGTCAAACAAGCAGACACTACTCTTAATGGCAACTGGGCTGAAAAGGTTGGGAATATACATCAGGCCAATCCACAAAAACATCTGTTGTGTTTTGTCTTAATATGTTGTGTGAATTCAACCACTGTGACTTTTAAGCCATTGTTAACGACTTAATATGTTGTGGAAACCCACCCAATTATATGTGTTTAGGTTTTTTTTTAAGTAATGGTTTTTTNCTTGAAGATGTTTCCCTTCTCATCAGTTAAACGTCCAAGTGCTTCAATGACCCTCTAAAAGGATGCAAATGACCAGCCGTCTGCAAAGAATATAAACCCTTCCATTCCCCACTATCCTATCAGAGCTGAAGAAGCCTCTTGGATGAGAAGCAAAATGTCTTCAAGGAAAAAACAAGGAAGTCTAGTTGTCTCCTGAAAAAGCACCTTTAGGACAACCATGATCTGGATGATGACTGAGAATTGCTACAGACTGACACTCATCTTCAAATTGCCAAGGTTGAGAAACACTGGACTAAAAGAACATGTCAAGTTATTTACAGAGCTGAATTTTTAGTCTTTAAAACAATCGCTATATGAATTAAATGAAGCAGATACTGGTCAAAGGTTTTGCAAGCGCACAATGGAGTGATCATGAATATATAACAAAATATGTTTTCAGCTTGCAATGAGGGGGCTTCAGCTCCATAGGAGTGCTCCTGAGCTGCAAAGGCTCTTTTAGCTATGCGTGCTAAGAAATTAGAGCAATGTTCTCGTGTATATAACGCCTCTGTGGAACAGGAAGAATTGAGGCATTTCTGAATTACACTCAGAGCAGAGCATGCTGTGATTTATTTTGAAATAAATTACCATTAATTTAATTAATGTTAGGGTTAACGTCATCGCCCAGAGGACTATTGGTTGCCCTCTCCCCTCTTTGGAAGAGCTTTATAGCTCGAGCTGCCTTAAGAAAGTTCAAAACATACTTAAAGATCCATCTCATCCTGGGCACCCCCTTTTTTTTTTAACTTTTACCATCTGGCAGACGGTACAGGACAATAAAAACAAGGACAAATAGGCTGCAAAACAGCTTCTATCCCAGAGCAATAACTATATTGAATTCTACGGTGTAGTGCAATATTAATACAATATCAGGGGTTTTCAATTCAATTGTACAGAATGTGAAGGATGTGTGTTTGTGTTTTATTTTTATAGTTATAACATGTTTATTTTTATAGTTATAATGTGTTTTATTTTTATAGTATAACGTACACACTGAAGATGGAATTAATTTCATTGTAGGAGGTGCAATGACAATAAAGTAAACTAAAACTAAAACTAAACTAAACTAAATAATACTAAAAAAAAATGCATGTGGAGTAAACCAGAAGCATCCAAGCTCAGCTCTGCAGGACAGTCTCTTACTTAAACACCTTGCTGTCATGGATACAGGCCGCCCTTACCTGCCAGAGCGATCGCCTTCATTTCGGATGGCTCGCTTGGGTTGCGCTGCAGTTTCCGTTTGGAAAGAGAGGATGATTTTCCCAGGTTAAAGAAGGAGCGCCAGCTGCCAACGGGGGATTTTTTCATCTTACTGGGAGGCCTCTTTCTACAGCAAGAAAAGATTTGGCAAAGTTGAGGAAATGATTGAATGAACTATGGTGGCTCCGAAAGCAGCATTAGCAATCCTCATGGAGAAGCTATTAAGCCCACATGCTTTTATATAGGCCAGCAGCATTTAAGCGTGGGACAATGCAGACAGACAGACAGACAAACAATCCTCCTACTGTCCTTCTACTATTCTCCTACTGTCAGGGTTCCAAATAGCATCCAAAAGTAAATCAGAATCCAAGGCAAATTATTGCTCAAAGTTCCAATTTATTAAGAGAACCATGTTGGCACATCTGGGAAAACCCAAATCTGAAAGCTTCCCGGTTTTCCCTACCTAGTTGAAAGCTCAAGATCCTGCCCCCACACCCACAACTCCATCACATGGTCCAATCTCCCATTGCCATGTTGGCAGTTCCACCCATCCAGTTCCACCCAGGTGCAGAGATGAAGAGACAAAGGATGACCTTGG